CTGGGCGACGTGGCCTTGCAGTCTTTTGGGCATGGATTTTTGGTGTTCGTGCAGGGGCCTTGCTGCTCGTGGTTCTAGTGTTGTTCCTGGGATTTTCGGGGCTGTGGCGCCTTGGTTTGGCGTTTGCTGCCGGTTGTCTCGCCTCCTTGGGGGGGTGCGTGGTGTCCGCCTCCCGGTTTTGTCCCTTTAGACCTTCCTCTGTGGGTAGTTAGCTCCGGGGAGCCGACGGGGCTCCCCCCAGAAAACCAGCATTGAATGTAATGAAACGCCATTTTCTGGGTGAGACCCGGAGGCTCCCCGGCAACCCTCCCTCCCTCCGGTCGGCGTTTTTCGCGTGTTTTGACATCCAGCCTCAGAACTGATGGGTGGATAGCTGGTGTGGGAGGTCTGGGGCTCCCCCTTCCCCCTCCCGGGGAGGGGGGAGCTGCGCAGACAGCGGCGCGGTGACATATGACGTCATACTAGTTTCCTTGTTTTCTGTTGAAGAGTTCTATCCACTAGTTCAGCTTGGGTAGCAATTTTCACCAGAATAGGGGTTTGTTTTGGAATGCTTACCTTTCTGGATGCTTGACCCGGTCGATGGCAGACATAGAATGCTTCCAACCACACGGGGGTTTCTATAGGCCATTGCTCCCCTTGCCTCTCTGAGGGGGCCAGGTTCTGGCTCGTGGTCTCCGGTAGGCCCTAGAACTCCATACACATGACTGATGCCAAAGTCTGACATTAGCATATCAGCCGGTAAAGCTCCGGGGAGCCTCCGGGTCTCACCCAGAAAATGGCGTTTCATTACATTCAACGCTGGTTTTTTAGCATGGCGAGGTTCAATACGTTTAACTATTATAAATTCATAGTTACACACTAATGAATAATACTGAAAACTGGAAAAAACCCAACCAGACATATTTGTTTGGTTTCCTTTCCCCAAATGAAACTTTATTAATACTTTTAATAATTAAACTTCATTAGCCATTTCTGTAGCTTGTCCAGGTCCTCCATAGCCTTATGTAGTCTGGCCAGATGTTCCAGTATCTCCTCTGATTATTTTTCTAGTACTGTACACTATTTTGCAATGGCACTATATAAAAATTGGTGACAAGTCTAGTTTAATGCTTCATAATCTTCTTTCTTGACTATTCCCACCATATTTGGGGTTGTCCAGTTCGTCTAGGTGTTCCCGCTTAATAATGAGACACAGGACATTCTCGGGTTACATGGTACCTCTGCTGCCTAATTCAATGTATGGCAAAATGTAGTCTGGTCATACTGCTTTGTTCACCTTTAATTATTCCAGGTGCCTATTTACTTGGTTACTACTGCTGAAGTAACCAAACTATACTTAATGCTATAGCTATACTATATTTTAGCTGTATTACAGTATAGCTAATATTACACCCTCCCTCCTCTTGTACACTGGCTCAGTCTTGTAAACCTGAAGTCATAAAGATCTTTACAGAGCTGTCTGAACTTTATTTCTAATAGTCCATTACTGTATTTTTTTAATGATTGGATAGTAATCTACACTGCTGGTTGGCTTCAACTGCTAAATAATTTTCAAACTGCTTCTGGTTTTGCCTGACTGTAGTGCTCTTTGATGGTTTTTATAGTGCCTCACTGTTTTCCTTGGTACTCTATACTGTTCACAAGCCTATTTCTTAGTTTTTTTTGGTGTGCTTGCATTTTGGTGAACCTTGGGATAATCTCTTCATGGCTTGTGTGGGCTGTGTGCATTTGTAGTATGTACTTGGTGTACTTTTTGTTCGTCTTTTGTTCAAATTTCCGATAATTTTCTCGCCCTTGTGCATTAGCACCTACCTCTGTACGTGTCTTGTTCTGCTCCTTCAGACCCGTTGTCAGAAAAGTGGTTGTCCATATCTAGATGGACCTGCAGGAGCACAAGGTAGATTATTGCTGGTTCATTGTTCTTGAAGACATGGGAAGGAAGTACAGTGGCACCTCGAGTTGTGATGTAAATTTGATCGAAAAATGTGACTTGACTAACGATATTTGTTGGCACGCGTTTCGGTCGACGGAGCGCGTGGTTCCTGGTCATGCGGGCTGACCTGCCTCAGTTTACTAGAGCTGTCCGCTTAGTGACTATCACGCCTATAAGAAATTCTTATTTTTTTCCTCTCTTTGAACATAAAACTGATTATATATCACACCATGGGTCCCAAGAAAGTCAGTGGTAAGGTTCAACCCAAGAAAATAGTAGAGTAGAGGATGTCCTTTCCTCGTTAAGAAAATGTGTGAAGTATGGAAAGAACTGCAAAGTTTTGTTGAAAAAACTCACCCAGATAAAAGCTGTAGCAGGCCATTGCATTGACCTTTAAATGACAATGTGATGTCTTACTACAGACAAGTGTCTTTAGACAGATTCTTAGTAAGACAAGCAAGTAGTGAGCCACAAGTAGGTCCTAGTGGTATGTAGGCAAAACATGCCAGAGTGCATCCCAGAAGTCGTGACTGCCTGATGCTATAATGGAAGGGGACTCCCCTTCCAAACAGTAACACCTCTCCTCCCCTCTCATCACCATCTTCCATATGCCATCAAGTCATCCATAAAGGTAAGATAAGCATATGCACTGTGTTTTACTTGGAGAAAAAATTGTATGCAGTATAAAATGTATTTGTAAGTTAATATTTTGGAGGGTGGAGAACGGATTAATTCAATTCCCTTTCTTTCTTATGTGAAAAATTGCTTCAATTTAAGATATTTTGACTTAAAATACGTCTCTAGGAATGGATTACCATTGTAAATTTAGGCTCCACTGTACTAGAGTACAGTAGTCCACTAATTTTGATCTGCAAGTGTTCCTATGTGAATCTTTATTTTGTGGTCAAAGTCGGAGAATTAGGATCTTTGTCCTTGCTTTTGTCGATGTTGCAACACTTCCATTGACCTGCAAAAAATTCTCATTATACTCAATTTGTTGGGTGTATTTGTACAACACCTACTATTGTCTCTGGCATGTCTGCTTGACGAGACAAGTATTTTGGTGGCACGATAGTGATGGTCTCGCGTCTTGCAGGCTGGCGTTATATCTGCAACTCCCCAATAGTTCAGGCATCATTCATTTTGTCCTATCCTAAATCCTTATCTGCAGGTCCCTTCAAAGTGCTATATAGTTGTAATGGATTTGTGCTTTCTTTTCCTAATTACCTTTTATAAGATACCTTGGTGTTTTTGGGGCTTGGCTTTCCTGCGGTCCGGTTGTCGCCCAGGCCTCCTCGTTGCTGGACGGGTCAACCAGGCTGTTGGTCGCAACTGCTTGCAACCTGACGTATAAATCGCAGCCTGGTTGGTCAGTGTTATGGCCACTGAGTCGCAACCGAGTTCTTTGATGGTGGAACCAAAGTACTAGCATTTGACCCCCAAGTTGGTAGTGGCTTTCAAAGAGTAGGCTAGGTAATGCAAGTAATAAAAAGGGGGGAGCTGAAATGAACACACTACTTCATCCTTTATCAATATATTCACTTAACTTATTACCACTTTCCCATTACCTAAAATAGAAAATGAAATCGTGTTACTACACGTAGATATTTACATGTCGCTCTCGCATAGGACACAGGACACTAAGCATTCCTCGATGCTAACTTGATTCAGCCTTTGTCACCTGCCGTGTTTCCTCAACACAGTAATGTCCTCAACCAATACTGGGAAATTCCAACGAGTCTACCCTTGCCATGGGCCAGCCTATCTACAGTATGATTAGGGGCTTTTTGTGAATGCCCACAATCACACTCCAGCCAAGTGCTGGCAGAGAACTTCAGCCACGCGCTGATGGGCCTCTACACGGACAAATACAAGGGTAGCTAACCCCTGGCAGGAGCCTCTAGCGATGAGCTAGTAACGCTCCTCAATAGCACCTCACTGTTGGTAGTCTCTTTCCCCCTAGCCAGTCCCGGAATACGCCAAATCCTTTCACTGCCACTCCACTAGCAGAAAGCAGATACCACATGGTTCCTCTTTGGCGGCGGTTCACTTAGTTGTCAAGCAGAATTAAGTAGAGAGAGATTAGGCTGCCCAGGATAGACTGCCTTTCTCCGTACTACAGCAGCCCTACCTCGCCTCTGTGAATACAGATACGGCATCAGTAAACTGGCCGGTACTGGTGTAACTAGGAAATGCCACTTACTGACTGGCATCGACATTCAGCTCATATTGCAACAGATGGCACTAATTTCTAGTCGCCACCTCACCAGAGGTCAGCCACAGCGACTCCTCTGGCTGACCAAGGCAGGAATCTTGAGCCTTTAGCAGGTATTAGACAGCCCCCACCAGATGGCATTGTCCACATTACGTCTGATGCTGTGAGGGTGAGGAAGCAGACTTACAGATGGTGCTGGCATCGCTACTCCATACTCCGATGATGTAGTCAGGTTCGTAACAATCGGGTATCCTTTGAAGGTGTTTATAAAGTTCTCTTGAACACTGTGAGGGGTCGGCCAGTTATGCCCCTTATGTGATAGGTTTGCCGTGTCTCAAACATTTAGAAAAAACCACGGTGTAACTGTTAGCAGCAATACTGTGGAATTTTTCCCCTCTGTATTCTCTCCAGATTATTAGTCTTTAAGCGCACTCACAATTGTGTTATTGATCTACGTTGCAGAAAATTGTGACTGCCAGTTTGGCATCCTCTTGTAATTCTCCCCTCGGATACTTTTGATATCATTTGCCTTGTGTTTCTGTTCTCATATTGGCATCCTTGGTGATATTTAGCACCCTCTGATTATCCTGCACATTTGATGGTGCTACATAACCTTCCTAGTTTGGTGCCTTCTTTGATAATTACTTGTAATTCTTCCCTTCACATTTGTTTTTCTATGCTTGTCTCCAAATACTCAAGCATTGCACTTTCCTTGCAGCCATATTTTACTCCATCTTGATGTAACACAATACGAACATGTGATATTAAGTAAGTTTATTATATGGATAATTGTTAATTTCATTATTAGAATAGTATTATTTGCACTGTAAATTAATGGGTTTATCCCCTTAGGGTGATGTACTACCAACTGCAGGGGGTGGCTCACAGGTAGTGTTTCAAGATGTTGAGATCCACACACAGCGTGACCCTCTTGCTGTTCCCGCTCAAAAGCGGTCTTCGGATGGTACACCTAAAGTAGACGCTTCAACACTCCAAGATCGCTGTTCTGTGGGAATTCAAGGCCATACTACACCACGACCATCTGTTGTAAATAAGAGATCAAAGTTTGTGTAAATATATTATTTTTTTAATCTTAAGTGAAAATACGTTTGATATTAAGGAGAGCTATGTTCTAGTTTCTTTATAGGTTTCTTAAGTATGTTCAGGACCTCATCAATCTCAAATATTGGGAAACCTGTAGAACCTTAAGGTCAGGTTGAAGCAGACATACTTCCTGCATAATAGTGAAGTGTTTATTGCTTAAAGCAGTGGTATAAACTAGTATATAATTCGTTACTGTATATAAACCCTCTTAATATCCTATGTAGATATATTAATTTTGACTTTGAGCTGACCTCACTTTTTAAAAAAGATAGTTTAATTTTTATAAACATGTCTATATTATATTGTCGTTTGATGCCGAGGTTTTAAAATAAAATTTCATACTTCTATCCCAGGGATTACTTGATGTTTGCTCAATACATGACTTTAGAATTCAATAATTCCAGTAAAATTTTGCAGATGTTTATGCATGATGGTATTTCAGAATGACATTTTCATTGCCCCTACTGTTTAGTACAATGTTCTAGATATTTGACTACTTTCAAAGATATTGAAAAATGTTTTATAAAACTGATGTCTAGAAATGTAAATTTGGATGCATTTTATTCATTGTAATGTATTAAAAATAAAAGTGTGTAGCTCTTACCTGTGGTTGTTTTTTTTTCTGACTGAAATTTGTGTAAAATGAGGAAGCCACTTTTACAATGCTCCAAGTATTGCAGAAGGTGAAGTCATGAAACTTGTAGAGGGCAAGCTGTGGAGAAGTGCATCCCTTGGTTCCGGGTCCCATCCCTTATATATTGGTTTGCTGTATGGATGACTTGACTACTCTTAACCAGGCTCATGTGGTGGGCAACCAGGCCCCTGAGTCGGACCGTCCTGGAAGACCGGGAACCATAGCCTCCGCTACAGGGCCCAATTTAGGCCCAGACCGGACTCTTCCTCCCCTCCCTCTGTGGTTGGGTCGAGCCCCAAGCCTGCTGTGGTGACCGTCTCGTCCCCTTGCACGGCTCCATCTCTTCTTGTGACTACTGCACCTTTCAACCGGGTTCTCATCGCCGTCCCCGCCTCGGCCGCTCTCGTATGCTCTCTTCCATCCTACTTCGTTCCATGCTTTGTTTGGTCCTGCTACATGGACTAAGTACTTTGACCTCCACCCTTTTGGATTCGACTCCTGACGATTTTTCCCTTTATAGGCATCTTGTCGATTCTGTGGATGCCTGTCACCTTCAACCCCACTCGTCTTGGTACCCGTGTCGTTGCTGCTCCTCCTCAGGATGCGGCCGCTCGCTTGGCCGCCTTATCCTGCCTTGGCGAAACCCCTGTTCGGGTCTCGAAGAACGCTTGGTTGAATGCCAGTGTTGGCACTGTTCTCCTCCCGCACCAGGTTGCGACCGGTGTTAGGGATCTCGAGGACTGCCACGAGGATATCAAGCATATCCTCGAGGCCCAGGGTCATTCTGTCCTCCAGGTGGATACATTTACTCGTCCCCCTCATGGTCATCGCCGTCTGCCCCTTCGGGTTGTGAAGGTTATCTTTGATGGTAGGACCCTTCCATCCTCTGTTATTCTTGCTGGTGCCAGGTGCTCCGTTCAGGAGTATATTCCATCTCCTCGACTCTGCAGTAAGTGCTGGAAGTTTGGGCATGGTACCCTCAAATGCTCTAGTCCTCTGTCCCCTGTGTGGAAGCGAGGGTCACTAAGTTGGAATGCACTTCTCCCCAGGCCCGCTGCCTCAATTGCGGTGAGGCCCACCCTACCTTCTCCCGTGCGTGTATTTGTTACAAACTTGAGGCGGCTGTCCTCGACTTGAAGCACCGGAACCGTTTCTTTTCCCGAGGCTCGGTGCCAAGTTCGTCTCCTTTCTTTCGCTGGTGTCTCCTATGCTCGCGTGGTGCGCTCTTCCTCTCCTCGTCCTTCCCACCTTCCTCAGTCTCACAACCGTTTCCGAGCCTTAGACCCGGACACCACCTCCCCTGTTTCCCTCTGTTCTGTCCTGAAGGGTCCCCCCTCCTAGTTCTGTCTAGGGCTCCCCTTCTTTCTACCCAGTCTGTCACGTCTCCTGTGTCTTCTATTTCCTCTCCCTCTAGTCCTCCTTCCCGTCCTTCTCCTCCATCTCTTGGCTCTCCACGCCGCCTGACTGTGCGGGCCGACGTCCATCGCTCTCCTGATGGTTGTGTTGTTTGCTCTCGCTCTTCTTCTATTGAGACACTGGAGTCTGTTGTCCAGTACGTTGCTGCTGGGACGCCTGTATCTTTGAGTCAGAAATGGAAACCTGGCTCCTCTCCTCCCGTCGGTAAGAAAGCTTCGCTTTCTTCTTCTTCACCCCAATCTGATTCTATCATTCCTTCCCCTCCTGCTTCGGTGGTGGTGCCCCCGGTTCCATCTCGGTTACTGCCCTTGCTGAGGTGCGCTCCTCTTTCTGCCCTCCCCCCCTTCCTTTTACTCCAGACCCTGCTTGTCCACCTCTGGTCCGTCTTCCCGCTTCTTTCCCTCCTTTACTCAGTTTACCCATGCCCGCTAACCCTGACTCTTGTGCTTTTTTAGTGTGCCGTGTTCCTTCTTCATCTTTTCTTCTTTGCTCTGTTGCTCTCCTCTCTCTCTTTGCTGATGTCTTTTCTTCAATGGAACATCCGTGGATTTTACGCCAATTTCCTTGACCTCCAACTTCTCATTTCACAGTTTTCGCTCCTTTGTTTGTCTACAGGAGCCGATGCTTGGTGCTCGTCCTGGTCCCTTCCGTGGCTATTCTTTTCTCTCCCCTCCACAGTCCATAATTCTTCTGCTCTCTTGATTCGCTCTGATGTTCCCTTTGTCCCCTTACTTTTTTCCTCACCTCTCCACTGTTCTGCCGCCCGTGTTTTTGTGCGTAGATGGTACATGGTTTGTTCCATTTATCTCCCCCCCCCCCCCCCCCCCACTGTCCCACTTTCTCTTCCTGATCTTAAACACCACCTAGTCTCCTTGCCGGAGCCTGTGCTCCTGCTGGGTGATTCCAATTGTTATGCCCTTTGGGGGTGATGTGCTGACAAACACCTGGGGTCGCCTCCTTGAACCTTTCATCCTCTCCTCTTCCCTGTCCCTTCTTAATTCTGGTGAGCCCACTCATTTGGACTCTCGGACTCGCTCCCTTTCTTGTCTCGATCTTTCTGTGCTCGTCATCCTTTTCCTTAGATTTCGGGTGGCGAGTCCTTGATGACCTCCTCCATGGCAGTGACCATTTTCCTATCCTTGTCACTTTTTTCTCTTTTCGCCCTCCTCTCTCCTTCCCTAGGTAGCGGTTTGCCGAGGCTGACTGGCGCCTCTTTACTCTCCGTGCTACTATTTCCGACCTCTCCGTTCTGCCTCTCCCTCGCGCCCTCGTTCTTTTTCATGACACTCTCTTTGACGCTGCCCTCCACTCTATTCCTCTCCTGGAACGCGGAAGTGTGTTCCCTGGTGGAGTATGGACTGTGCTCGGGCTGTCCGCTGTAAGCGTGCAGCCTGGAAGAGACATCGCCGCCGGCAGACGATCGAGTCTGCCGGCGGGCTCCGATGGCATTCATTATGAAATGCTTAGTCATTCCCTCCGTGCACGTCTCAATATTTACCGAGTCTGTACAATCGGGTCTGGGAGTTGTCGTCGGTCCCTGAAGACTGGCTCGATGCTGTTGTCCTCCCTGTTCGGAAACAAAGGTCTCTCGGGTCATCCCCCAAGGACTTCCGCCCTATTGCCCTCACGAGTTGTCTGCAAGCTCTTTGAACGTATGGTTAACGTTCGTTTGATGTGGTTCTTAGAACACTATCACGACCTCTCCCCTTCTCAATTTGGTTTTCGCAAGTGCCGCAGTACAATGGATGTCCTGGTGAACTTGGTCTATATTCGTACTGCTTTTGCTGCGAAGACCTCCGTTGTTGCCGTCCTTTTTGACCTGGAAAAGGCTTACGACACTACCTGGCGGTATCATATTCTGTCTCAACTTCATTCTTTTGGCCTTTGTGGGAACCTCCCTCTCTTCCTCCAGAGCCTCCTCTCCTGTCGTTCCTTTCGTGTGCGGCTTGGTACTGCTCTCTCTGCCCCTTTTCGGCAGTATGAGTGTGTACCTCAGGGTAGTGTTCTGAGCACTACTCTTTTTTTTCTAGTTGCCCTCAACGGTCTTCTTTCCTCTCTTCCTTCTGGCGTCTTCTCCGCTCTCTATGTTGATGATCTTGCCCTTTGCTGTCGGGATGATGATTCGCCTCTCCATCAACGGTGGCTTCAACTTGCGATTGATGCCGTGTCGTCTATGACTTTTACTCGGAAGCATGTCGTTCTTCGTTCCTCTTTGTTGCTTTATGGTCATCCCATTGTGTACAGGGATTCCGTAAAGCTTTTGGGGTTAGTCTGACACTCGTTTGTCTTGGTCAGCCCATATCTCTTACCTCCGAGTTGAATGCTCTAAGGCCCTTAACCTCCTTAAGGTTTTGTCCCATACTTCTTGGGGAGCGGATAGGCGCATGCTCCTCTATTTGCACTCTTCTCTCGTCCTGTCTAAACTCGATTATGGTTGCCCTGCATACTCTTCTGCTTCTCCTACTCTTCGCCGTCTCGATGCTTTGCACTATACTGGGTTGCGTCTCGGCTTTGGTGCCTTTCGTTCGACTCCCGCCCTCAGTTTGTATGTTGACACTGGCTTTCTCTCTTCAGGACCGCCGTGATCACTACTGTCTTCGCTATCTTGCGCGGTCCTTCCAACAACCTTCCTGTCACCTCTGTCGTGCATTGACTTTTCCTCCTGTAGTTCCTGTTCCTCTTCATCGTCTCCCACTTTCTGTCCCGTTATCTCGCTTACAGGATTCTCTCTGTTCATATTTCTAATGTTTCTCCTCGTATTGTTCCTTCCTTACCTCCGTGGAGAGTCCCCCTTCCCAAGTTTTGTATGTCCTTGACTTGTATTCCTAAAGCCTTTACCCCTCCTACAATTCTGAAAAGCCTCTTCCTTGAGCACTTTTCTTCGCACTCCCACTCTATTTCCATCTTCACCGATGGGTCTAAGTCTGCGGACGGTGTGGGCTACTCTATTGTTTTCCTGACTGTACTTGTGTGTGTCGCCTCCCTTCGGAGGCTAGCATCTTTACGGCAGAACTTTATGCTATTCTCTCTGCTCTTCGTCTCTTGCTTTCTCATTCTCATTCCTGCTTTGTGGTTGTAGTCGACTCTCGTAGTGCCCTCATGGCTCTAGGGTCCTTTAATCCTGTCCATCCGGTGGTCATTGAGATTCAACATTGGCCGTTTCTTATTTCTAGTAAATTTAAATCAGTAGAGTTTTGCTGGGTTCCCAGCCATGTTGGTGTTTCTTTCAATGAGCGTGCGGATGCTGCCGCTAAGGAAGCTATCCATTCTTGTCCCATCTCCCGTAAAGGTATTCCTTATTCCGACTTATCCTGTTGTTCATTCCTCCATTCTTACCCGTTGGCAGGGTTGTTGGTCCTCTGTGGTTAGTAACAAGCTGCGTACTCTCAAGCGTAGTGTGTCCCCGTGGCCTTCCTCCTACCACCGTAGCCGGCAGTGGGAAACTGCTTTGGCACGGCTGGGGTTGGCCATACTCGCTTAACCCACGGTCACTTAACGGAGCGCCGCCCTGCTCCTTATTGTCCGAATTGCATTGTCCCTCTTACAGTTGTGC